CTCACATGACACAGAAAGCACAGAAAATGATGTTTGTTTGTCTGTTTTACACATTCCCAACCCTGCTTTCCAGTCTATGTTTCTTGCAGCTTGTTGGGCAGTGCTTTGCTCCGAGACGTGGAATGCCCATCCTCTGTTGATTTCTGCCAGCAGTTGCCTGGAACAGCCCCCATTTCCCTGAGGTGCCTCTTTGGCCCCCTGGCCTTGAGCAGGAGCAGAGCTGGCTCCTCCAAATGCATCAGCCTGTGTGCACAGAGGGATGGATAATGGGCAGGCTTGGGTGTCCCCAGCTGGTTCTTGGGGCTTCAGCTGGTGGTCGTTCTGCTTGTTCTGAAGGGAAATTGTGTGATTGCTTTTAGCTGCAGTTGGGGGATTGAATGACATGTGCAGGGAATAAATCACTGCATGATAAGGAAGAGGCACGTAAGATTTGAGACAAAGAGGAAAATCTCATTTCCACTCCCCTTTGTTATCATTTTACTGTGCATAACTGTACATATCACACATGTTACTCTGAGCTCCTGCAGAGTATTCCATCACTCCAGCAGAGCCCTGGAAATACACTGGGAGGACACAGGATTTATCTTCCTGTTGCTTAACTAAGGATTGGATTATCCACAGGGGGCAGCTCCTGTGGAGGCATTAAGTAAGCAGTCAGATCCCTGCACAAGTTCATCTCACCCAGTGCCCTGCACCTCACCTGTTCAAACCTACAAGCCTGTCCAGGTGTGTTGTGCTGACCATTTGGTCACATTTCAGCTCTGTGAACAGGCAGCTCTTTGGCTCCTTCAGTACCTGCTTCTGTTCCCAGGGGCTGAACTCTTAATTCTGTCCCGGGCTGCCTTAAAAGTGGACATGTGAGGCTGCAGGGGCAGGAGCGCTCCCAGGAGGCTGATGTAGGGCCAGCCCGTGTTTGAGCTTGCTCCGTGTCACAGCTGAGGGGCCCTGGCACCATTCTCCCTTTATGTCAGCAGCTCTTGGCCTCACCTGTGCCTGGGTGAGGACCCTGCAGTGGCGCTGCAGCACCGCTGTTCCCGACTGGAATGCCTGTGGCTCTGCTGGAGCCACTGTGAGCAGGAGAGAGCTGTTTGCAGCCTGAGAGCAGCACACAGCGGCTTGGAGTGGTGTTAAAAAGAGCCAGAGTGACAAGTGAGAAACCACATTGTACCATTTTCCCAGATATCACAACCTGAGAATACAATCTGTGTTTCCCCTTCCAGGGCATCTTGTCACTCTCCTCAGGCATGACCTGCCCACAGAGCAGCCCTGGGCACATATGAGCACTGGGGGAAGGAGCTGGGCAGTGCCCTTGCTGCTGCAGATCCCTGCAGTTACAGGGTGAGCCAAGCTGTGTGCGTGGGCCACGGGGAGACCAGAGGGGTGAGATGTATCCACAGGCTGGGAGCTGATGGGGGTGTCTGGAGAGTGAAGCAAGAGGCAGCAGTGCCAGTTGGTGGAGAAAGGAAAATGCAGAGGAAGGAAAAGGCAGAGGGTGTAGGAAGGAGAAAGGGATACCACGGAATAAGGAGGAGGAGGCTCAGGGTGCAGTAGGAGGATGAGGGAACAGTCAGGCAGAGCAGGAGCAAAGAGGGTTGTCAGTGAAGCTTGCATTAGTTTGGTTTTTAAGCTCTGTAAGTGTGAAAGTGCTGCAGTTAAGCCTGAGTTGTTTGGCTTGGTGTTCACCCCTGTGGTGAGACTGCACCTGGGTCTGGAGCTGCCGTGGCTTGGAGGAGGCAGCCCTGTAGAGTCCAGAGTTGTTCCTCCATGCCCAGTGCCCTGCCACACTGCCGGGTGTCATCTCCACACAGAGCACAACAGCAGCAGTGCCAGCTGCAGGGCCAAAGCTCCCAGGTGCCAGGGCGCATTTTCCTACAGACACTTCTTGCCTGGGCTGTGCTCTTATTTTCAGGACACACAACCCAGAGCTGCTCCCAGTGACCTCAGAAGGGCCTTTCATCATCAGTTGGGAAGAGTTTTGCCAAGACAAAAAAGGAAAGGAGAAGAAATGTTCTAGGCAGGAGGGTGGTCTAGATGAAGACGGCCTGGCTTTGAGAGCAACAGGAAGTTTTCATGATGTACCTCGAAATGACTAAACACACAACACTGGAAGTGACACCTGTGTGCTAATCTTCTATTTCCTTCAGCTGCTGCACAGTTCACCGGGCTCATGTCAGCTGGTGGGGCTCCTTTCAAAACTTTCTTCCTTTTAACCTCCAGAATTAATTTATAACATAATTCATTAGAGAATGGAGTGCTTTCTGTGTGGGGTGAGCTGTCCCTCAGCTATACCTGTGTGTGCAGTAGGAGACAGGACAGGAGTTCTGTAGGAAGGTTTTTTTTTAAGGCAATTCAGTGAGGACTTGGGCTGCAGCCCCAAAGGCAGCTGTGCACTGAAGCTCACAGAGGAAGCTCCAAGGGATGTCACAGCATGCCCCTCGGCTCCTGGGCTTTTCCCCCTCCTTTTTCTTCACCTTGTAGCAAAGGCTCCATTATTTGGCCTTGCTTTTGTCTATAAATGGAAGCAGTTGGCCATTATCCCAGTATAACACAGGATAGTCCTGTGCATCAGTTATGCAACTGGTAGCTTGATTACTTCATCAGAAGCCGGGGGAGGGCCAGGGGTAGTAGGAAAAGGCTTTTACCATCAGCTCTGCTGGAGACAGCCAATAAATGTGTGTGTGTCCCCCCCAAAGCAAAGAAAGCAGGAGCTCAGTGACAGGGGTGGTGGGTGAAGGGTTTGGGAGCAGCTGAGGGATCCTTAGTGATTCCTTGACCCCAGCTTGGGGGAGACCCAGCCACTGCTGCAGCCCTGGCCCTTAGGGTGCTGCAGGGACCGTGCTTGACCAGGTTGTAAAGTGCAAAGTGCGGTGGGAGATGGGACTGGGGGAGAAGTGGAAAGAGGAACAGGGAGAGAACTTTCAAGCCAATACAGATGTTAAAAAGGGTAAGAACCTAAACGTTGGAGAGCTGCCTTTCAGCAGAGCCCTTCAGGGAGTATCTGTAAAAAGCAGAGATGTGGACAAATTGTATTTGTTATTTCCACGGGAGGGTCCTTGAAAACCCGACCTTCATGCAGAAAGGCTGACCCTCATTTCCCAAGCTACACTCCAGCACTGAACTTAACCCTTTCCCTGACTGGGTGGGCGTGGGTGCTGCAAGATCCCCTTTCTGTATGCCCAGATCACACAGTGATGATGGCAGAACTCAAACGCCCAGTGAGGCAGGTGAATCCCAACCTCACCCTGGCAGGCCTTGCACAAAGGATGCTAAAGCGACACAGGTCCTTTCCATCAAGTTGGTGGTTTTGAATAAGTACCTGCCGTCTCTATTCATCGGTTAAAGATGTTCTAGGGGCTCTTATCACCCGAGATAGGGACCGGGCATGCAGTTTTCAAACTCAGCACCAAGAGCGGCGTGGTGCGAGCCGGGCCCCCAGGGAGCGCTGCCGGTGAGGCCGGATTGCCCGGGCCGCCAGCCTGGGACAGCCAGCCTGGGGCTGGACGAGGGCGGCTCGGAGAGTCCCGGGAATGCTTCTGAGGGCCCGGGACAGCCTGGGGCTGCGCGGGGGCGGCACCGAGTCCCGGGAATGCTCCCGAGGGCCCGGGAAGCGGCGGGCGCCGCTCGGCTCCGCCCGGGCAGGGCCGCGGGTCAGCAGCGCCGCCTGCCGGCAGCGCCGGGACCGCTCCGTCAGCCGGGCCCTCATCCCGTCCTTCCCTTCCCTTCCCTTCCCTTCCCTTCCCTTCCCTTCCCTTCCCTTCCCTTCCCTTCCCTTCCCCTTCCCCTTCCCCTTCCCCTTCCCCTTCCCCTTCCCCTTCCCCTTCCCCTTCCCCTTCCCCTTCCACTTCCTTCCACCGGGACACCTGCAGGATTTCCCTCCCGACCTTTCCTCGGTGCTTTTCCCAGCACTAAAAGGCAGCAAATTGGATTTAGAACACAAAGAGAGAATGGGGTGTGTGCAGGGAAGGCGCTTGCCCTGATTCCTTCCAGCCACACACACTGGTGCAGTGCTGCAGGATGGAAATCTTTTATAAAGACATAATGGAGTTAAATCCTGAGGTTCTGGAGAAGAATTAGTGCTGCCAGCTCCCAGTATTTGTTGCGTGCACCTAACACCTTGGCTCCTCAATCCAGGGGGCTATGGTAAATTGCTATGTTAAATGAAGAGAGGGAAACAGAAAGGAAGAGAACATATACTTGTCTCCTTGAGAAGGGAGAAAAAGTTTAGAAAAACATTACTCTGAAGCAGGAAAAAAACTTAGCTCACAACTTCATTATTTCACTAGTAATTAATTATAAAAGTGCTCCTGCTTTACTTGAGGGGCTTTGAATTCCAGGAGAAAAGGGGAACCTATTCCCTCTGGGGAGCAGTCCAAGGCTCCGTCTTTCTCCAAGCTCCAGGCTTCACGCACAGCCTCTGTGCCCCCTCAGCCTGGTGAGCTGCATTCCCTGCCTGTGGAGCAGGCAGTAACAAGGCCTTCCCGTCTCTGTGCACAGGAGCACCAGGTGGGATGCTCTGTGCTCCCTCAGCCTGGTGAGCTGCATTCCCTGCCTGTGGAGCAGGCAGTAACAAGGCATTCCCGTCTCTCTGCACAGGAGCACCAGGTGGGATGCTCTGTGCTCCCTCAGCCTGGTGAGCTGCATTCCCTGCCTGTGGAGCAGGCAGCAACCAGGCATTCCTGTCTCTCTGCACAGGAGCACCAGGTGGGACACACTGTGCCCCCTCAGCCTGGTGAGCTGCATTCCCTGCCTGTGGAGCAGGCAGTAACAAGGCATTCCTGTCTCTGTGCACAGGAGCACCAGGTGGGATGCACTGTGCCCCCTCAGCCTGGTGAGCTGCATTCCCTGCCTGTGGAGCAGGCAGTAACAAGGCATTCCTGTCTCTCTGCACAGGAGCACCAGGTGGGATGCACTGTGCCTCTGTGCCCCCTCAGCCTGGTGAGGTGCATTCCCTGCCTGTGGAGCAGGCAGTAACCAGGCATTCCCGTCTCTCTGCACAGGAGCACCAGGTGGGCCTGTCACGGCCTGCAGGGCCCATGCCGCCGTCTGTCCCGGCGGGCTCCAGCGGCATGGCCACAGGCACCAGCTCCGGGGGACACTTCCTGGGCAGCCAGCCCCAGGCAGCCATCATGAAGCAGATGCTGATGGAGCAGAGAGCGCAGCTCCACGTGATGGAGCAGCAGAAACAGCAGTTTCTCCGGGAGCAGAGGCAGCAGCAGCAGATCCTAGCGGAGCAGGTACAGTATCCATCTGTCTCCAGTGCATCTGGGATGGGCATGAGCACTGCAGGCAGTGCAGCACCAGCCCTTCCTTCTAGACTTGGGAATTCTCTCTCTGTGGGTTCTGTCAGGGTATTTCAGCAATGGTCGTCAAAGAAGAGGCAGCAATCAGTCCTACCATTAGCTTGGCAAATATTACCCGTGTTTCCAATGGTGCACTTAACAGTCACGTTGGATTTTAGGCACTGGAAAAGTTAGCTCTTGACCTGGCATCTAATGGTGCATTTAGTCCAGCAGAAGCAGACTCAGCTGCAGGTACAGTCACAGGTCCTCTCCCCTAGCTCTAATTGTGGTTTTGCATTTTAAAGTTGCAGCTCCCTAATGTTACTTAGATAATGCTCTGGTAGGTCAGCAGTTCCTTTAAGCTCCTCTTCTGCTCTCTTGCTAAGGAAAAACAGCTTAAGTCCATCTGCTTAAATTTGTGTTAGAACACATGCATGCCATGTAACCACAGAAATCCCCCCCTTTCTCTTGCTGCCCCTGAGAAAGAGAAAAATTTACTCTCAGTGAACAGGAAGGCTGCTCCTAGAAATATTTAGGATAAAGAAGCCTGAGCTGATTGAAGCGTGAACAAGTGCATGAGAGTGAGGATGCAGTAATGCATCCCATGGATTGGGCCAATTCACATGCATAAGGCCAAGAGCCAGTAAGAGCCAAGAGCCACTTGGATGCTGAAGGCAAGCCTAAAAGTGTTAAAAGGCCACCAAGCTGAGGCTTCAGGTGTGTTGACACACCTTTCAGAGATGAAAAACAGTAAAGTCACATTCCTCAGGCTCCCAGCTTTGGGATAGTTTGTGCCTAACAAGAGTCCCTCTTTCTTTTTGATAGTGTGTAACACATAGTTATGAATGCAGGGATTAGTACTTCCTTCTTTCCTATCTCTGCCATTCTCCTGTACCCATCATTGGTTTTGGACATAATATTTGTACAGCTGCAGGTGATGCTCCCAGACATGCCCTTTCAGCCCTTAGCTGAGTACACTGTAGCATCTGAAAGCTCTGTTTTTATAATCAGCCCTTGATTCTGTTTTAAAATATTCACAAGTATTCATAGAAAGCAACCACAGAGGATCAACGTGGTCTGGATCAAGGGAGCATTTTGCAGTCACCACTCCCCAAATATCATTCACTGAAGCACAAGAGGAAATGTGCCTTAGTAATCCATTTCTGTTTTGGCTCAGGAATGCTCCAAGGCTGCAGTGCTTGGGTCAGGATGCAGTAATCCTTGCAGCTGAGTGTTATAAGTGCAGACCTGGAGCAAAGTCTTGCACCAGGAGCATAAGCCTCTGGAGCTTGGCAGGACTGAGGGAAAGAAGGTGTGTTTGTGGCTACAGCTGCCCTTAGACCTAGATGGGCAAAGTTAGTTCACATTCCTCCCTCTCCTTTCTGCCTGAAGACAGTTCAGCTCATGCTGTAGAGGTCAGGGAGAAATGGCTGTAAGCAAGGAGTGATGATGATGTTGGCCTCAGCGCATGTTCCTTTTTGAGCCACAAAGAGTCTGAGTGCTGAGCAGCCCAGGTGCTCTGAGGAGGACTCTCCAGATGACTCTGCCTGTCTCTCCAGAACACCTCACCAAATAACCACCGCAGGTTCTGCAGTTTTGCCACCAGCCTGTTAATTAATTAATCATCTCTTTCTCTTCTGCTTTCTTTCTGTCTTTCATTTTCAGCAGATGCAGCAGCAGCCACATTTGCCTCGGCAGCATCTGCATCAACAGCGAAGCCCATATCCAGTGCAACAGGTCAACCAATTCCAAGGTAAAAATCCAATTGCTTTTCCTGTTTTGGAGTCAATGCCCTAAAGGTAGCAAATGTGTGAAAGCTTGTGCAGTTTGTGACTACTAGGTTTAAAGCAGTGTACCAAAAGAGGAATACAGGCTGTTGCACACACCACATATTTTACCAAAGACAAATGCCCAAGTTTGCCTATTCAGTTAAGTTTGTATTTTCCTTTCTGCTCTCTTCAGTGAAAACTGCTTGCTTTTTCTTTTTTTTCCCTTTTTTTCTCCTTTTTTTAAATGACATTTGTTTTGCCTCTTTAACATCCAGATGTCATCAATTCATTCATAGATTTATCTTGTTGACCTCTACTCTTATGAGTTTTTTTTTTCCTGCTAGCATTTCTGACTGTATCTTGGTTTTGCCCCTCCTTCATTCCCCACTTTATCTAATTTGATGAGCAGAGAATTTAAGAGAGGTCATCCTTATCTAGAGAAGGGACTGATAAATGTCAGGTGTGGGAAACACAGTAAAATATGTGAGATGTAAATAGAGGTTTTTTTAATGATCTCAAAAAAAGCACAAATATTATTTTGATGTGCTTCCAGGTACTGAAGAATGTAAGTGCACTCATTTTGGCTTAGGAAAAGAAGTTAACTCTGAGCTTTTTAGGTGAAAAGCATCAGCTGAAGTCTTCACTAACCATGATTTCTATATAGACATGAAATGAACACACACTTGTGCTGCATATTCATGATAATACCATGTAGATGCAACAGAAAACAAGGGAGGCAGTTCTGGACATTCCACATTGCCATCCTGGTTCCCAGGACGTGAACAGGCAGCCACATCTTCTGCTGGCATATATCAGGGTGGCTTCTTCTAATCAGCTCCTCATTTTTATCTTTGGCACCATAAGTTCTGTATGGAATTACTTTTTCCCCCAATAATTCATTTCCAAAATCAAGAGGTGTGTGTGCACAGCCATGCACTGAGATGCACGCATACAATCTCTCTGCATTCATGCTTCTTTGAAACACTGCCTTGGTATGTATTATTTAAAATAAAGAGAGAAGAGTTTAGGCTAATCTGACAGAGCAATGAATTCATTTTCATAAATGAACTAATTTAAATAGTTCACCTTTTTAGTCACATGAATGTAATCCAGTGCAGTAGGTTATGTGTAAATGAGACCAGAAGGTGGCCTAAAACCTTGAAATCTGTTGCATCTCTCTTTTAACTACTCCTTGTCTGATCTCCTGTCACTTATGCCACGTACAGTAGTTAACAAAAGTAGTATGTGAGCTACTTCCTGTTAGTGACTCTTTTGGAGCTTTTCAACTGCCATTCTCAATTAAAAAACAACTAAAGATGCATTAAGATTTTAACATGATCTGTTTCTTAAGCACTTGCTCGAGTCATCATAAAAAGACTGTTTCTAATCATGAAAGGAGCTGATCTAAGTTAAGAAAAATCAAGGGAACCCCAGTGCCAATCATTAAGAAAGCAGTGTTACAGTAGAGGTGGCCTTTGAGTCATGGAAAAATGCATGTATTGTACTTGAATATCTGTATAGAGGCTTTGCCCTGGGAGGTCCTGGTTCTCCTTGATGGGCTGCCACAGCTGCCATGTCCTTCATTGGGCTGCAGCTGTGGCTAATGAAGATGACTGGGATAAAAGAGGGTCGGCTGGCCTGTCAGGCAGAGCCTTGATGGAGTCTTGAACTAACAAAGTACAATGTGCAGAAGAAGGAGTCTGTGCTGTGGAGATCTGCAGCCATGAGAACACACTGAGGAGGTATGGACTTGAGAGATCTGATAACAACAGTATGGGACCTCTAGGAATAGAACAATAGCACAGTGTGATGGCACGAATAAAGTAAAAGCTGCCACTACACATGGCCTGTTCCAGTGAGATCCAGATGGTCTCACTTCATGCTACAAAATGTTTCATTTCCAGCTGTGTGCTGGAGCTCAAAGCATCCACCAGAAGCTTGTGGTGCTGCAGAAAACGGAGTTGTAGCCAACCTCTGCCTTATAAAATAGAATTACATGTATAGAAATGGTGCTTCCTTTATCCAGCTGTTTCTCATGGAAACCAAGCCATCATCAATAACAGGGACCAGTGCTCTCCACTCCCCACGGGTGTTCAGGGATGTTGTCTGCCACTGAGGGACAACAAATAGGAGCCGGTTTAAGAACATTGAGATTCTGTTGTACAGTTCTGAACTCTTAAGCAATGATTTTATATTTACTCCTGGCATTTAATAACACTTGAGCCTGGAACAGTTGTGTGCCTCATACACTCTGAGCATCACTTGCCCAGTGTTGTATTTAGTCAGTGACTCACATCTGCAGAATCTGACTATTTAGTTAGTGACTCTGACCGCTGTATTTGGTAGTGACTCAAATCCACAATGAACCCATGGCATAATCTGAGCTCCAGGTAACTGTCTTTATTTAAAGGTAGTAAATATAGAAGCATATTGGCTTCCCAGAAATCAATAGCTCTCCCCTACCCCTGAAAGTAAGACACAAGCATGGTTAAGTTATCTGTCACAGTGTGGAATTTAACAAGGCTAGGATTTTCTGGTTTCCCATCACTGGCCTAAGGTGAAGTAAAATGTGCTTATAGTATTGATTCACTAATACACTCTCCCTGCTTTAAATGTCCACAAAAACCCGATTTTTCTTCTTTCCATAGAATTAATCAGTAGCTATGCTATAGAAAATCCATTCATTAATGCCTCCTGAGCTATTAAAAGAATTGATTGGCCTTCTGAGACTGACATTTCCATTTTCAAGGCTTACTTTTGAAAGACAATGGAGATATTTAAAGGAAAGCTTCAAATGATAAACTGAAGTTCAGCTGCTTTGCTGCTAACAAAGAAGACCAGTGGAAGTTTTTCTGTTTGCTTACTAGAAGCTGAATTAGGTGAAGCTGAAGAAGATAAGTGCTGCTCAGGATGCTCCTACAGATTGTCTCTTATGCAAAAGTGTGTTAATGAAGATTTGCAGGTTTGTGGGCTTTTTCTTACCTTCCTCCATTTTTGGTGCAGGTTCACCCCAGGATATAGTGGCTGTGAGGAACCAGGTAGCACTGCAGAGCATGAGAACATCGCGAATGATGGCCCAGAACGCGAGTATGATGGCCATGGGTCCCTCCCAGAACTCGAGCACGCTGCTCAGCACTGCAGGCCAGCCGGATATGGGCATGACTCCTTACAGCAATGCCTCCTCCAGCCAGCCAGGAATGTACAGCATCAGCACGGGCATCAGCCAAATGTTGCAGCACCCAAACCAAAGTGGCATGAACCTGGCACAGAGCACGGGCCAGGGAACAAGGCAGCCTGCCTCCGGACAAGCAGTGGGAATGGTTGGCAATTTTGGTCAGAACATGCTGGTAAACTCTGCTCTTCCCCAGCATCAGCAGCAGATGAAAGGACCTGTGGGCCAGGTCTTGCCAAGGCCACAAGCACCACGACTTCAAAACCTGATGGGGACTGTCCCTCAGGGAACACCAAACTGGCAGCAGCGAGGCCTGCCAGGCATACCTGGAAGGACTAGTGGCGAAATGGGGCCCTTCAACAACGGCACCACCTACGCCGTGCCAGCTGGGCAGCCCCGGCTGTCCAAGCAGCACTTCCCCCAGGGCCTCAGTCAGACAGCTGTGGACACGGCTGGCACGGCGAGAGCCGTCAACCCAGCGCTGGGCAGGCAGCTGCTGCAGCCACTGCCTGGGCAACAGGCAGGCGGCCAGGCCAGGCCCGTGGTGATGCCAGCAATGGGCCAAGGGGTCCCTGCCATGGCGGGCTTCAGTCAGCCCCCAACGCAGCAAATGCCAGGTGGCACCTTTGCTCAGAGCAGCCAAGGCCAGGCCTATGAGAGGAATCCCACTCAGGACATTTCTTACAACTACAGTAATGGAGGAGCAGGGGGGTCGTTCTCCAGTTTAGCAGAGGGCACAGACCTTGTGGACTCCATTATTAAAAGCGGACCAGGGGATGAGTGGATTCAAGAACTGGATGAGTTGTTTGGAAACCCCCAGTGAATGGTATTGTATAGTCTGGAGCTTGGATTATGTTTTGTTACGTTTGAACAAGCAAAGAGGAAGTCAGATGTTCTCCCCATCCCTGGATCGTTGGTTTTTGTGTTGGTTTGGTTTGGGGTTATTTTGGGGGTTTTTTTTTGTTTTTAATTGTGCAAACCAAGCCGATCTGTAGCCAACTTTGGAAGATTCAGGGGACGATGAAAACATCAACATCCCAAAACTGTCACCAAGGAATCTTTGTTGCTGGGAAGATTCGTTCTCCCCCAGTTACAACAAGGCTTCATTGCACAGTGGTGAGGGATGGTCCTGGTATGTCCCACCTCTTATGATTGTGCACATTGCAGCTTCCAGGGAAGCAGAGGGAAGAGCTGGGAGCCAAGCCCACAGATACTCAGGGGTGATGGCACAGCCCTGGTCAGAAATGGGCTTAACCCCGGGGCAAGCAGGTCTGGGGGAGCCATGGCCAGGCCGAGGGGGCTGGCTGTGGGCTGTCCTGAGGGAATGCACAGCACTCACATGGCAAACCTAAACCATCACAGGGAGGTCACAGTTTTCACTGCAGAGTGATAAACCCCACTACAAGTGCAGAAGAACATAAATTTGGCAGTGTTGTGAGGGCAGATTGATTATGTGACTGCTGCTGGAGACAGCCTAGTGGTGGGTTAACTTAATGAACTGCTTAGTCCCCTTGGGACTTGAAATTGTGCTTCCCAAGTCAGAGCACTTGGCATGGCCCAGCTGTCTGGGCTGTTGAAGGGCTGAGAGGTACCAAGAGACATGAGCAGAGCTCCTCAGCTGGTCCCTCCCTCTCCTTCCTCCCCAGGGTGTTCTCAGTTCACTCCCTTCCCCTCCTGTTCCTTCAGTGTGAAGCAAGCTGAGCTGGCTGCACTTTTTTTTTTTCAGGCAAGCCACAGAGGGCCAGGCAGGGCAGGATATAACAGGCGTGAGAAAACATCCAGTGAGGGTTTGGCACACAGGAAGACCTTCTCCTCCCCTCTTGAAAAGCCCAGGTTTGGCAGGTAGTATTACCCCAGGGTGTCTGGGCTCTCGATGTGATACATTCAGTTTTAAACAGGTGTTGGGTCTAATCTCTCTGGTTTGCTGGGATAAAATTCACTGCAGTATTTCAAGAACAGGAGTCAGTGAGGGACTACTGTAAAGAACATTCATGAGTGGGTAAAATAATTGATATGGCAAACATGGGATCTGCCCCAATAAGGTTTTAGATAATAGGGGTGTATCACTATCTCCACTGTTTGGACCTGTGATGAAGTTGTGATAGATCTCACACAACACTGAAGTCACCAGCCATTCTGAGTGTGTACAGCAGGGTTCCCAAATTGCACTTGGAGGCTGTTTTCTGGAACCTATTACCTCTTCAGTGTTTTCAGCTGAGGGCTGCTCATCAGATTATATAGTTGTGCACATAAAAAATGTTAACATCACCCACAGTCCAGAGCTGTAGCACCCTCTGGCCTAGTGCTGGCCTCTGAGAGCCATGAGCTGTGCTCTGCAGCAGTGTACTAGTGCCAGGCCCAATTCCCCAGTTCCTGGTCACCTCCTTTTGTGCTGTTCTCCCTGGGCCCAGTGACGCCAAGTGCTGAGCCCCTGAATTCCAAGGAGGCTGAGGGCCTTGGCACTTTCATGTCCTGCCTTTCCCCGTGGAGCACAGACAGGCATCGCATTAAAGAGGGAGAGCAAGTGAGTCTGGGACCATCTCTGTGCCCCCTTGAGGCTCCCTTTTGAGCAATTTCCCTTGCTGGGCTTGCCTAGTGGGGGGAATTACCTGTTCTAAATGCTGCGATGCAGCAGGACAAGCTGCATTTTTAATGTGTTAAAGGGGAGCCATCAATCCTACCTGCCCTGACTGCTACATTTTTTAAAATGGCTTTAATCTCATCTCTTTTAGCTGGCCCCTTTATAAAACACAGCACAAGGGCCAATTCCAGCTCCTGCTGAGGATGATGAGCATGATTAGCATGCCTGCTGCTTCAGTAGGAGCCAGGTTGGGCCCTAATTCAGTGAAAGGGAGCACCAGCCCAAGTTTTTGGTTGATCCTGTGGGTCAGCATCTATTGGGCAGGCTGGAAGGGACAGGCAGGGCCCTGAGGGGAGCAGGGGGCTGTGGCTCTGTGTGTGTCGGTGCGAGCACAGGGCACACACGTGTAACAGAGCTGTGACAGGGTGCAGGGCAGCCACCCTGCTGCTGGGCAGGGCACAGTGCTGGGGACAGCACAGCACCCACACCTGGGCTGAGAGCCACCAGGACTCGGCACAGAGCGGGCAAAGGGGAGCTGAGACACACACAGCCACCACACAGCAGCCAGTGCAAGCTGGTGTGCACTGCGGAGATGCAGGCCTGGGTCATACATGGTGGTCAAGGTGAGCCTCTGTTGTCTTTGTGAAGCTTCCTCCAAATAATCCATACTGGGATCAAGTACTAGAGAACAGATTTTGTTAGATTTGGGTTGATTGGGGTTTTCGGTTTTTTTTTTTTTCTTTCTTACTATGGTGCTGATGTACATGTAATGTTTTAAAAAAAGTCACTTGTAAATATGTTTTTACAATTCTACAGATATCACTGGGTCTACTATCTGTAAAATATATACATATAAATATATATATATAAATATATATATATATATATACTGTTTGTTTAAAATAGAGTATTTTTATTTCATTCCTTGACTCATCCTTACTGCAGTGGTATTGCACTTCAGATGACATCCAATTACTAATTTGTACTGTATCCCTGACAGCAACTTGCTCCATTTTATTCAGATTTTTCTAGTTTTCTGGTTTTACTTTGTACATTAAGCATTGCTTATTTCCTTTTAAGACCTGTACAGAGTCTGAAAACGTAGAAAAATACCTGATGTTGCTTTTAAAGAAAAAGAAACAAAAGAAGAACAAACAAAACAAAACAAAAAAACCAACCAAACCAATAAAAGATGGTTCTATGAGTCATATACCTGGTGTATATGGATCATGTCTTGCCCCACTCTTGCGCCTCAGTGAGCATTCTTCCATGGAGGGGAGGGGAGCTGCAGGCAGGTCGGAATCAGCAGAAATAGGGAGTGGGGAAGTGCTTCCAGGGCAGGAGACAAGATGCAGACAAGCTGGGGGAGGGAGAAGGGAAACGTGTAGCTGGACATAAAAGTTGGAGAAAACAGGAAAACTGGAGAAGGATCAAGACACAGGCTTAGGGAATTCCCTATCACCCACCACTACAACAGCGTGAGAATTGTCTTGTCAGAAGCCTTTAGGAACGTGCATGTGTTGGACGTGTATTGCCTGTCCATACATGGGGAGAGCAAGGGAGGGAAGGTGAGGAAGAGAGAGGAGAGAAGAGAGAAGAGAAGAGAAAACATCAAGAAGAGAGAAGAGAAGGTAAAACATCAAAGCACTATAACAGGTAAGCTTGGAATAATTTCAGAGTCAAAGAAAGACCTATTTGAATCAGTAGGTGGGCTTTGGACCTCCTCTAGTCTGTATTTTGACTCTGTTACATCGTTTGGAGCTTTGTCTTGGTTTTGGTTCTGGCTGCAGTGTTTCTTGCTGCCTCTGTCTGTAGGTTTGGAAGAAAGGTGTCCGCCAAGGAAGGGGGAAACCTCCCTTGGAAAGGAAAATATTACCCCCTACAAATTATTATAACTTAATTATCCCTACAAATTATTATAACTTGGAAATTACAGGGGTTTTAGGCAAAGATATGGCAAAAGGAATAAGACTTATTTACTAGAATATACATACATACATACATATATATATACACACACACTCATATATAGATATGTATGTATATATATATGTATATACATATATATACACTTTCTCAGAAGCTGATGATAAGCATTACCACCAGACAGAAACATTAAGATCACAGGGTATATTGGAGCTGATCTGATGACAGAGAAAGAGGATGTGATTTTTCAGTGCTTTTTATTTGCCTTCTGTTGTGTTGTTTTGGGTTTTTTCAACTGGATGGGTCACATTCTCAAACTTTTTCTTTCTGCTGGGTACAAATGTTTTTTTCAGTAGCTGAGGCTTTGACAACAAACAAAAAAATAATCAAGCCACATCGATGGGTTGCTAGATAAGGTGGCAGTGCTATCTCAGAAAAAAGGCAGAGTAATTATTTTTAACTTGCTCTAAATCTCAAGCTAGTATAGCACAAATGCCTTCAAAATGTGTCTTGTTCCCTGGTGTAAACAAAATGATACGAATCAACATATTTCAAAGAAAATAATGTCAAGCATTAAAAAATTGTACTGCAGTTTTTGACTGCTGCACAGCAAAAGGACCTTCTCAGACTAGCCCCCTTCTAGTAACAGAAGCACTGAGGGAGGAAAAGACCTCTGAGATCCTTGAGTACAACCCTCGAGGCAGCACTGCCAGGGTCACCACTAAGCCATATCCCCAAGAGCCACATCCACGTGCCTTTTGAACACTTCCAGGGATGGAAGTGTTCCACCACTTCCCTGGGCAGCCTGTTCCTTGATTCTCAGAGGTATATCAGCAGGGCATAAAATAAGCTCATTTACCTCTTAAAGAACTGTAATGATGAGAACTTAAGATGCAATATCTGATAATCTTGTTGCCTGATGTAAAGATTTGCTTTCTTATTTCATTTCAGATACTGAGTATGTGACTTTGTTACTGGAAACATTTTTTTACAGCACTTTCAGTCCAATACTGGTGTATTTGATTTCACAGATTTACTCTCATTTTTGAGGTTTTCAGTTGTGTAGGTGCCTAAATACAATTCAAATCAAGACACAACATGGCTTTGGGATAACTTTACAGCTAGTTAGAAGCTCTGATAATAGCATGGTTCCAAGAAATCAACAAACAAAAGAGAATTGAAAACAAATTCGTTTATCCAACAGGGAAAAGTAATCTGTCCCACTGAGCCAAATCCCTCTCAGACTGCAGAGAGAGTAAACAATGCTCTGGTGAGAAAACTTTTAGGATTTCTCAGAAATTCAAGTTGTAGAGCAACCAGTTGATCATAAAATAATTCCCATTCTTCAGAACCAGTGGAAACCTCCCCAAACCCCAGTCATGCAGCCCACAGCTCTTTCTTACATTGCTGGAAGGTGGAAAGAAGAGAGGCAGCTG